AAGACTATTGCTTTCACACTTGCGCCCATCTTTCAAAAGCAATAGGATACTTGTAACAATGCACTGTACATGTAAACCATTCTTAACTGCAAGCCTCTCTCAGGTTCTCCTGGGTGCGGTGTGTGCTGCTGGTCACCAGTCTCTGCTAGATGCTGCCTAAGGTTCGACTGCTCTGTGCCCCGTGCCCCAAGCTCCCTGCTATCTACTCCTTGCCCACTGTCCCCTCTAGCTCTGCCCACCCTGGAAGGCCCTGAGCTTCTTGCACTGGGTTCTACTTGACTCTTCATTCTGCTCCACCCAACACAGTCTTTCCCCACTGACTTGGGGTCCCTTGTGGACCACAGCTGTGTGTTTTCTGCAGACGAGTGCGGGGAGATTGGTCCACTTGCCTATTTCCTGCCCTTCACCTGCAAAGTGGTACTAAGCAGAAGTTGCTGTTCAGGAGCCTAGTAATGGCCCTTCTAGAGTGTACTCGTGTCTCTCCATCTCTGGATAGGCCACACATGTAGTTTGCTTGATAGTACCCAGCTCCCGTGATTGTGTTGGGTTCTAGGTCTGTTCCCTTGAAAAGACTGAGGGTCTGGCTTATGTCAGTGTTTCTCCAAAATTCCTGTCATTCTCGTAGTCAGTAAAAAGTTTTCGAGGGCCGAGCCTGTGGCGCACTCGGGAGAGTGCAGCGCTGGGAGTGCAGCAGCGCTCCCGCCGCGGGTTCGGATCCTATATAGGGATGACCGGTTCGCTCACAGCGCTCACTGGCTGAGCGTGATGCGGCCGGTCTCAAAAAGGACAAAAAAAAAAAAAAAGTTTTCTGAGCATGTGGCTACAATATATGTATATTTATTTCTTTGCAAATTCATGCACTGTGGTTGTATAACAAAGCTTATACTCATATACGTGTGTGTATACATATTTTTTTAATGAGATGGAAAAGAACGTAAAAGGAAGTTCTAATATTTGTTTTTTTCTGCAGCCCAGTGTACTGTCTTGTCCCCTCCTGCTGCTGGGCCCACCACCCAGAGCCTCACAATCAGTGAACTTCCATGTTAGGTTTAGGTGTTGGGTGGGGTGTTGGGAGCAAAGCAGGGGTAGCCTGTCTAGGACCTGGATTTTGGGTACTTTTGCCTCCACTCCTCAATATCTGTGATGACTACATTGAATTGCAGGTGGATGAAGGATTCGAAAATGGTGCACATTTCACGATGGAGTCTTTCCCAGAGAGAGAAGTGGAGTTCACTGCACTGCACAGTTGTTCATGGAAGGTAGGAAACACAGATTTCCTTTGCTTGTCATCATTTTCTTTTTAAACCATACCATGATTAAAAATAACAGACTGCTATCAAGAAGAATCCCCATACTCTGAAATATGTTATCTAAATGGTAGAGTGACTTCTTTTTTTTTTTGGCTGAGGTAGTAATATGTACCATAACCTGGCGTTGGGGACAAAATTTCTTCCAGGGATCTCACCTGGCTGGTCTATGAAAGGGACAGTTTGTCATAGGTTGTGTGATGCAGTAGAGGAAGATTTTGGCCTGAGCCAGCAGATGTGGAAACTGAGTATCTTTGTGGTTTGGAGAATGTCTCTGTGACTCGGGGTCCCCATTCGTTAAGTAGGTGACTGGGCTGGAGAAAAAACTTAAAGCATGGTCACTGTTTGATAATGGCTCTTCCTCCTCCATCTTCCTCCTCCTCTCTCTCCTTTTCTATTTCCACTTCTCCTGCTCCTTTCCTCGCCTTCTTTATCTGAAGTCGCTGGTGAGTCCTCAGCCAGGGATTGGTGGTTAGGAGGTGAGGTGGTGGTAAAGGGCAGGGTCTTGCCTGAGCAAAAGAAGGAGGTAACAGCATGCAGTGCTGCCTTGGTTCCTACTTAAATTATGTACAGATCTGTCTGACGGTGTCCTGGCCATGGTGAACAGATCTAGACCTGTGTGTCCTTCCTGATCTACCTTCTGCAAATCGTTCCATCAGACGGCCTTGTGGGAGGCCTTCCAGCTTTCGTAGCCTATAAAATATGTAGTTATTTGAGGGGCAGGGATATCTCAGCTTCTTATACTGAGAAAAGTTTAAGAGAACATAATCTGGTTGTTTTTTTGTCCAGAAAGTATTCCTGCTGGTAATTGTGTTTGGGTTCATGCTCCATTCCAAGGGGGATAAGAGTGAGTACAGAACCTTACAAACCACATTTCCTTATATTACTTCTGTAGAAACATTCTGGTCCACAGTTCTTGAAAGAAAGAGAAAAAACAAAAACCCAAGAATATTAATGCAGCTAATCCAGAGAGCCAGTTAAAGCAAAATAAAAAAGTAACAAAGCTTAGATGGAAGAGCTGTTGTCACTCACGTGTTTTTTAAGAGGAGGAGATGAGGCCATCATGTTTTTCTGTGAAAGGCACTAGCTTTTCCCAAATCCTCATCTGTTTGCCAAAGTTACATTATTTTGTACCTTTTTGTAGAATTTAGCTTCCTCTTATTTGAAGACATGGTTTCGGAATATGGGCTGTTACTTCCAAAAAGAAAGTACCTTTTTCATGGTTGTGGGAGGTTGTGGGTGTGGAGGTCCATAGGAAGGTGCTGAGTTATTCTGGTTAGTATTTACTATGTACTGTTTACTGATTAGACATTAGAGGGCATTCCTGGCCACTTGTCATAGTTCTATAATTCAGTAACATAATAAGAATATTTCACACAGAGAGAAAATTTCAAAAAACGAATAGCTATAATTTTAAAACATGTATTATTGCCTGAGTATGCTTTATTCTTAATTTAAAAGAATAAAGGGGCTGACCACTTTTAGCTCAGTTGGTTAAAGCACAGTGTCAAAAACACCAGGGTCGGGGATTTGGATCTCTGTACTGGCCAGCCACCAAAAAATAAACAAATTACTAATTAAACAAATAAATATACACCCTCAGATCCTTCGCTTCAGTTTGTTTTCATCTCAGGGAAGGAACCGTGATGCTGTCATAGCTGTGGGTAATCAAAGAGAATTAACCAGAGACATGTATTTGATATCTGTTTTTTATTTTGCTTTTACGAAGTCAAGGGCAACAAGACTCTCATCAGGAGTGAGAAATATATAGTCTCAACTAGGTGCATAATTTCAAGTGTTAGTTGTATAGCGAGACCTTTGATTATTAATTATAATAAAAATGCAGATTAAATGTACATTTTCTTTCATTAAACAGGTTTTTAACTGCCAGTTCTCAAGTAATAGAAGGAAGGTATGTGTCTACCACTGATTATCTGGTATATTTTCTAAAATTTCAAAATTATTTTAATCAGTGTGTCTTTTTTGTCCCACTGTAGTGAATGTAAAACACAACCTGACTTCCAGAGTCATAGACAACATGTATTTCTTGGAATTATTTTAAAAAATAAACCTTCTGAATAATCCAGCAGTTTAAGCTATGTGAGCCAAACCTTAGGATTTGGTCATATTCTGGAAACAAGTGTTGTACCATTTGAGGGTATTACCAAATTTTAAGGAGCAAAATAAACACTATCATTTAATTATTTAATATCATCAAGCAAAAAGTATCAATTTGCCAGTGGATGTAAGACAGACATTGCCAGAAAAATGTCTCTTGTGTGAAAAAGCTTCATGTGTTTGATAACATAGCTTGTTTCATTTAATATAAAGCAAACCTCACACACCTGACACCAGCTGTTATGTGCAAAATAATGTGCGAGTTGCACAGCCCCCAGGAGTGAGTGTGAGTGAGAGGCGTCTCTGCTGGGCCATTCTGCTCCTGGATTCCCTTTGCCGAGGACTCCCGTTTTCCTTTTTCCAAAGTAAAGTCAGTCATTTAAAGTGCAGGGACTCCTGCACTGAGAATGTGTGGTCCCCGATGCCATCCGACTGGATGAAAACTAACAATTGAACAAATAAGATATTTTCCCTCAGATACTGCAGAGATTTGCTCATTTTCAAACTTTGTGGTTCTCTAAATTGTGGGTCAGAGACACTCAAGCTAATGAAAATCTGTGAAGAAAAGGATTTTTACAGATTTACACATGAAATAAAAATACATGAGCATTTCTCAGGGAAGCACAGCTGATGGTCTCCCTTTTTTGTGGTCAGTTTGCTAAGTGCTTTCAGATCCACTGGGAAGAACGTGTCCCTGGGTAGCTGCTTAAGCTCCTTAGAGTGGATGTGAGGTCTCTGTGGGTCTCTGGCAGAGGCCTCTGTGGAGGTCTCTAAGTTGGGTCTCTCAGTTGTCCCTCAGTTGTAGCTGTCAGAGGTCTCTGCAGAGGTCTCTCAGCCAGGTGTCTGTTAGAGGTCTCTGAGGGTTTCTGTCAGAGGTCTCTGGAGGATCTCTGTTGGAGATCTCTGTCGGGTCAATCGTAGAAGTCTCTGGAAGGTCTTTATCAGAGGTCAGTAAGGGTGTCTTTTTGGCTGCAGACCCAGACCCACAATTGGCTCTATCATCATGGGTCTGCCCCAGAGGCCGCCTGGGTCATGGCATGAGTGGACCCTGCCTCAGGCAAGCCTGCAGCATCTATTCCCTTCCACCTGGCACCATCATGTCCCCGGTGGTGTACTAATGGGCACAGGCACAGCGCCATCCCCTGTCCTCTGCTGCAGCCCCTCGTGGAGTGGGACCATCCCCCACGGAGTGGTGCCCACAGGGCTCAAGCAATAACCCCGGGAGGTGGTGCCACCTCACCCTACCCTGGGCTGCCGGAGAGGCAACAGCACTGTTGCCGAGGGACAGCTGCGAGTGGCACTCGTGGCATGGCCCTGGTCTGCCCTCAGTGGACAGGTCACCCCTGCCCCTCATAGGCACAGTGCTGTCCATAGGTCCAGGAGCCAGGGGTACTTGCAATATGACCCCGGGCCAGCCGCTGCACCCTGTAAGTTCCCGCCTGTCCCATGGGCACAGTTCTGGGCCCTGTGCACATATGAAGGTGACCAGACCGTGAGTGATGTGAATGAACAGCGCTGGCTGACCCTGTGGTCAGTGCCTCCTTTCCAGATGCTGCAGAGGACGTGGTGAGGTCCTCAGATGGACCATTGGAAATGATCATCCCTGGCCTGGCCCTCTGAGACGAAGGTGGCCTTCCCAGGCCTGTGACCCTGGAGCTAGAGCAGACACACCGGGGTGTGCAGGGTGAGCCTGGCCTTGACGTGTCCCCTCCAGGCCTATGGACGGGGTGGGACATGTGCCTGGATGGTGTCCCCAGGCCATGCAGCTCTTTCCTTGGCTCTGAGCTGCACTGTTCTCCCACATCCCACCCTTGGTCCTTTGTGTGCCACTACGGAATGTTACTGCACACAACGTCATTCCAAGGGGGTGTGGCAGGTGGCCCGGGCAGGGGCAGTCATGTGTTGCTGGAGTCCGGTCCTCCTGCTGCTCTGGACAGGAAGGGTGATGTGCCATGTCGTGTCACCCACGTGAGCTGAGCGGGGTCGGCAGGGCCCATCTCTGTCCCCAGTCACAGGAGAGAGGGACCCAGGGCAGGCAAGTATGTCCCCCCCTAGAGTTCCAAGGTCACGGTTCTCCCTCTGGATTTAGTGTCAGCACTGCCTCCCCCAAACTTCTTGAGCTCACGTTGTGATGGGCGAGGCTATTTGGCTCTGACATTCCAGGCCAAGGAGAATCAGCCTCTGTGGACCCATCCCCTACAGCACAGCAAGTTCAAGGTCAAGGGAAAGCAGGGGAGATGGGTGAGCCCCACCCCAGGTGGGGTCTTCACAGGGTTTGGTCATCCTGACAAGTAATGGCCACATCATGAAAACAAGGTAAAGGGAGGGACTCCAGGGTGAGGGTGGGTGTGCAAGGCCACAGTCAGCCTCCCACAGGCCCAGTCCCTTCTAGAAACTGCACTCGGAAAGAGCTGACCCATTCCCTTAGCCCCGCAGGGCACAGACAGAGCCAGTACCTCTGAGGAGGAAAAACATATATTAGGAAACAGTGCATATCTTGGGAGGAAGAAGCCATCAACACACAGAGGGACTGGTGACTTGGGGGGGAACAGATTTTTTCTGTGTGGGCTGAAGGTTTTCTGGGGAAAAACCTTTCTCACCAGGAAACGGGTGAGAAGCATGATCTGGTTGACCAGACCAGACACCTCTCTGAAGACGACAGTGTCTAGGCCAGTGAATGGAGTGGCCCGAGGCTCTCACCAGCAGTGGCCTATGCTGGCAGGGACTGGCTGGTGACACATGCTCCCTGGGAAGTGAGGCCCAACTGCTGTCCCCATCTCTGTGCTTAACTGGATGGCTGTGACCCACTGGGGTGGCATGGTGACTGTAGGCCATACTTCTCATCACGGCTCTTTGCTCTGGTGTAGGAAGGACTCCTGTGGTGGCTGGAACACCCTCCCACTGGGGCTGTCGAGGCAGAAAGTTCATGGCGAAGCCCCATTTTCTCCTCTAGAATCTGTCCAACAGTGGTCATGAGCGCCTGGGCTTCAGCCTTGCCATTGTCCACAAACAGTCCATTTGGGACTGGTCCACGGCTCCAGGCGGCGGCTGGTGCGGGCTTGACTTTTTGCAGGGGATCTTTGTGCCCTTTGCTTTTTTCACTGGGGACAATCCAATGCAGAAAGCACCTGATCCTTTTCTTGAAGTGGCTTTCTGGGGATGCTTGTCCCTTCTCTGGCAGGAGCCGGGAGGACTGGCTACTTAAGGACTCTACTGACTCCGTGTCCTGGGCAGAGGGGCTTAATCCTGTGAGCATTTGCTCATGCCTTCCTTGCGTGAGCCTCCTGCGGCCCTCTCTCCTGCCAATAGGGCCAAACATCTTGCTCAGGCTTTTCCGTAGGTTCTGAAATTTTGGGCTCCTGGGCTCCTCCTGCCCCTGGCTGCTCTGTTCCCTTGATAAGAAGTCACATGCCCCCTGGAAAGCTGATGTGTTGCTGCTGGACATGCTCTGGAAGCTAGACAGAGAGGCCTGAGTAGACAAGATGTTGTCACCAGATGGGGTCTCTGTTTTGTATGCAGACCTCTGAGCTCCCTTACACACAGGCAAGGGACCAGGTTGAGGACTACGCTGGATGGAAACTGACGTTTTTGCTGCCACCTTGTCTCCTGGATCTTGGTGAGGAGGTTCTCCCGGGGCATTGGCAGCCTCAGCTATGGATTTGGCATCAGAATCCCTGGTGGCTGATGAGAGAAAGGCAGGCTGTGAAAGGGACAAAGGTTGAGCTTTTTGTACCTTAAGAAGATGTGGGGGCTTGTGGACCTTGAGGGTCTGTCTCCTCTCATGGCTTTCCTGAAACCTTTTAATATGCACTTCCAGCACCTGTCGAGTGTGCACATCAAGGAAGGAAAGCTGCTGGGAGGTGTTCACGTTAGACTCCTCGCCCTCGGAGGGTGCTAGGTTTCCACTTTCCATGTGAATGTTTGAGTTTTCCAGAGACAAGAGATGGCCATTAGTGAGACTGGGACGATGAACATCCTCAGGGAACATGCCCTTGTTGATCTCTCCCAGTTTTCTGTGCAAATGGACTTCTACGATGTCTTCTAGATGCTTCATTTCTGGGCTTCTTGGTGAATCCTTTCCTGAGTCACTTCCCAATAGCCTCATCCAGTCCCTTTCTGACTTTTTCTCAGTGTTGGCCCCTGGAACCTTCCGTGAGTTGCTTTCCAAAGCCCTGGGAAGATCTTCTAGGACCCTCCGCAGACTGTGTTTTGGATCGTTGCTTGGGATCTCCCCAAGCTGGAATTTGGCTGGGCCCCTGAATTCCATTTTCTCCATGTTCTGGCTGCTCCCACCTATAAACACAGAGGGCCCATGCCTGTCCTTTACCTGAGAAATCCCTGGGAATTCATCCTGAGGCTGTATCAGGTCTGGAGACATGTGGGGCCTCGCGGACAGTCTGCAACACTGCTGTGTAAACCTGTGTTGAAGGTCCTGAGGCTGTATCAGGTCTGGAGACAAGTGGGGTCTGGGGGACAGTCCACAGCAGTGCGGTGTGAACCTCTGTTGAAGGTCTTGACGCTGTATCAGGTCTGGAGATAAGTGGGGCCTGGGCGACAGTCCACAGCAGTGCGGTGTGAACCTCTGCTGAAGGTCCTGACGCTGTATCAGGTCTGGAGACACATGGTTCCTGGGGGACAGTCCACAGCAGTGCGGTGTGAACCTCTGCTGAAGGTCCTGAGGCTGTATCAGGTCTGGAGACACGTGGGGCCTGGGGGACAGCCCACAGCAGTGCTGTGTGAACCTCTGCTGAAGGTGTTCCTCCAGTTGCTCCTGGAGCTCAGGGATGAAGAAGTCTCCTGGGAGGAGGGAGACTGACTCATGGTCCTGGAAGGCCTCACTGTCGGGGGTGAGTTGGCTAAAGGCTTCCTGCGGCTTCTTGACCACACAGGGTAAATCCCTCTGACTTTCTTGTTCCTTCCTCAAAAGGTCACGTGCCAGGCATTGGATGGAAGTTGGGATAAGAAGCTGGGCCTTCTGCTGGTTTGTAGGGCAAGGTGCTCCCTGGGCCACAATCTGTGGTGAGTAGCACTGTGGGATGGGGAGACAGGATGAGGTGTGGGGCTGGCTGTGGGTCTCAGCCAGAGGTGAGGGCGGGGACAGTGGCAAGGCTCGAATTAGAGGTTGGAGTTGGGCCACAGGGAGGGACCAAAGCTGTGGCTGAAAAGTTTGTGGAGATGGTTGAGTCTGAATTTGTACGAGAAAGGAATGAGAGAGTTCATTGAATAAAGGAGAGGGAAACTCCAGTGGGGAACCAGAGACCCTGATTGTAGCCACCAGGGAGTCACTGTGCAGAAAGAAGAGGCCCCAGACGAGCTGGCTGATTTTGTACTGTAAATGGCCCTGCAACACCTTGGGACCAGATAGCTGCTGAGGACTGGGCAGCTGCTCTGGTTTGTCTTTCATGCTCCAGAAGAGTTTTGGGGTTCTGTTGTCCTGCTTGTCACCCAGTGATTTGAATGTATTCCCCAGAGAATCCAGGGAAGAGTCTGATTTCTTCTTTTCTTTTTCTTTCCATGAATTCAGTTCTTTTCTCTTGGTGATTATTATGACCAGTAGCTTGTCGACGTTGGAGTTGATCAAAGTGGGGCCACCAGGCTCCGTCTGCCTGTGTGTTGGGTCTCCCCAGAATGAGGCCTCTGGTAGCCTGAGTGAAAAATATTCTGGCTGGGATTGGCCATGTGACAAGGTGAGGAAGCACAAGTCCTTGGCAGTCAGCTCCCACCAGGAGCGAGCTGAGATGGGACAGCTCAGGTAACCAAGGCTCAAGATCACTGGGACGGAAAAAGTCAACCAGCTGCTGTTATGTTGACACAAGCTCTGTGGGATGGAGCCCAGCAGGAGTGCCATCCAGTGACCCTGAGAAATAGCCAGGCAACAGACTGCTGGAGGCAGATGGGAGGCCACAGGGTCCGGGGGTTGTGATGGGGCAGAGGCAAGCACGAGTGGCCAGGTTGAGAACTTGTTGAGGGGAAGCAAAGGCTCTGGTGCCTGAGAGGCACTCAGGGGTGAGTGTAACCCAAAAGTAACCAGTGAGGTTGTCGGGCCTGGTGACAGGGTGGAGGCCACATGCAGAGGACGCTTGGCCAAAGGAGCAGGGGCAGCAAGTGGGGACAAGGTGACGGGAGCAGAATCTTCCACATTCTCCCTGCACGGCTGGTGGGCTCTGGCAGGTGCTGGTTTGCACACCTCAGCTGGAGGGTCAGGGATCTCCGCCAGGTGGCTGCAGGAGACAGGAGGCAGGTGCTGTAGCCAGGAGCAGAGGGGCCAGGAGTGGCACCTGCACCTAGGTCCCCTCCAGTGCCCATGCACTGGCTTCACAAAGCTCCTGCCACCCACCCCTGCCCCAGGGCTTTAGTCACATCCCATCCTCTTCCTTGGACTCCCATCCAAAGTTAGTATGAGGCCCTGGGGTCACATCACAAGCCCTGGTAGGAAGGAGGACATGAGAGAGAAGGGGAACGTTCCTCACCTTTGCTGACATGAGATCAGGCCCTGATCCTGATTCGGTTCCCCCAGGCCATCTCTACAGGCTGAAATCAGGAGACTGGGTTATGGTGGAGGGAGGTGCCTGGGGATCTCACAGGAGGCTGAGTGGAATGTTCTTTAAGGGCACACCTTAGGAAATTGGACCGTGGAGCCCCAGCATCAGTGTCCAAGGCTATGTGATCTTGGGCAGTGACAGTAAGGGGCATGGATTGGCATCTCTTTGTCATTTACAGGGTGCTTCCAAGTCCAGTAGCACCCCATGGTCTTCACAACCACCCTCTGGGAGAGGAAGGACAGGGTCATCCTAAAGAGAATTCAGCCTTGGCAAATTTAAGCAGCATGCCCACAGTTGGGCCCGAGGCCCCACCTCCAGATCCAGGCAGTGTTGGTCCACTAACCCCCACCCCTGGCCCTGCTGGGCAGCACCCCTTCCCTGGCCCACCGTGGCTGCCTTCCCGGCCCAGAATCTGAGAAGTACCCCAGGTGCTGATCTTCTTCCCAGGACCCTCCCTGTCAGGCCTCTGTAACAACATCCTCAGAGATGTGTCCCTTGTTGCTCAGGGACAGTGCGCGATGTCAAATTACCTCCAGGGCTCCAGCAGAAGGGCAGAGCCTTCCCTTGCAGAGCGCCACTCTTCCTGCTCCTGCTGCTCCTTGTCTCCACCCGATGCTGAGAGACAAAAGAGGAAAGGCTAGGATGAAAATGTTTCCTGTTTTCCTTCTGTGAAAAATGCAAAGAGGAACTTTCTATGTGAGATCCACTGTGGTTGTCCTCAGTTCCTCTGGAAACCCACAGGCTAGACCTGCATGTTAGCTGCCAGGTAGGATTCTGCCTCCAAAGGCTGGAGTCACCTCCAGCCTCTAATGGGAGGCTGTCAGGGGCCCAGCAAGGCCCTCAGAAGAGCCCTACGGAGATAAGACCTGGCCCGAGGCGCCTGCTGTAGGAAGGGACTGGTGAGCCAGTGCTCAGGGTCCGTCCTCCCACGGAGATCTCAGCTCTCTCAGCAATCCCATCCTCAGCTGCTGAGTCTTGGTATTTGGCCTTGCCCTGGCCCCTCCAGCTCAGCAGCACAGCTGGTCTGAGAACTTTGGACAGAAACCCTAGTGCCCACTCTTACCCCTGCCCTGCCCCGCCTGTCCTTAGAAGGATGGTGTTCTAATCTTTCCTGACATTTCCCATCTCAGGAGTCTCTGGGTGATTTGGAAAAGTGGAAATAGTAATAAGAAGTTAAGGGAGATTCACTGTCTGTTGAGTCTGGGCAGAGGGTTGCTTACCTTCCTCACGTTCCTCAGTTTCCTTGGTGGTGGTAAGGATGGATCCTTCTGGGTACAGGGGGGTAACAGGAGGAAGTGCCTCAGCCCACCCAGGAAGGCAAGGGTGATATCCACCTCCCAGGAAGTGGAGCTGGGGCTCAGCCATGTGGCACTAACGCTATTCAGAGTGAAGAGAAAATTCTCCATCTTCTGAATCACACTGCTGCCCTCAGGCAACTGAGCTTAGGGCTGAGGCCTGCATCACAGAGCTGTGGCCTCATCACAAAGGGCTCCTGAGGGTGGGGGAGGGGTAAAAAGAGGAAGAGGCTGAACCACACCCCCTCCACTCCCCCTGCCCCCGCAGGTCCCTCCATCCTCCTGGGCCTTCTAGATCCCTCCTTCCAACTCCGCCTGCTCAACCTGTCACAGTTAAACCTCATCTACTTTCTGTTCTTTCCTCTTGGAACCCAGATATTGCTTGTTTCTTCGAGATCTCTGCTTGAGCTCCATCAGTTTCACAGTTTTTGCAAATTCGTAGTTGTCCCTGAAATTTTCATTTCCTAGGGATTGTTACTCTCGAGATCTCCTGTACCTGCAACCTCAAATTTTCCACATAATATGTTCTTGCCTTCCGTTAACTCAGACATAGAACTTAAATTCTTTTATACTTTTGGTTTATTCGAATAAAATTTTTATAATTTTTGTAGCAATTCATCTTTATTATCTTCAGCTAGAGGGACTTAAAAAATACTTTATTACAAAAATTCAGAAGGCTAAATAAGTGTAAAAAATTGAAATAATGAAAGCTTCAAAGAATTTTTTTTATATATTTCTAGAATTTTTGCTTCTAAACCCAATTGAAGTTAAACTGCACAAGAAATTTTGGAACATTTTGTACATGCACAGGCACGAACGCCTGCACACAGACACAAACAGACACACACAGAGACACACAGACACACACACACACACACACACGCACGCACGCATGCACAGTTTGATAAATCAATCCAGTATTTTCAAATGTAAGAATCAAGCATGTCTTTCAATTCCAAGGATTTCCTTTAGTATTTCTCGTAAGGTAGGACTGCTAGCAGCATGTTTTTTAGTATTTGTTTATTTGAGAATTTTTTTATTTTGCCTTCGTTTTAAAGGGTCAATGTTCTGGACATGGAATCCTTGGTTGACAATTTTTTTTTCTTTGAACTTTAAAACTGCCATCTCACTACCTTCCCCCCATTGTTTCTGACCAGAAGTCAGGGGTGAACCTTACGGTGCTCCTTTGTAGAAGGAGAGAATTTTTTTCTCTTGCTGCTTTCAAGATTCTCTCTGTCTTTCCACAGTTTTTCTATGCTGTGTCTAGGAGTGGATATATGTGTTTTAATTTTATTAAGGGTAAACATTGACTTTATAGTATAGTGCTTTAAGTCAAATTTGGTAAGTTTTAAGCTGTTATTTCTGCAAGTGTTTTTCCCTTTTCTCTTCTTTCTTTCTGAGACTCATTTTCCACATATGTTGTGGTGCTCAATGATGTCTCAGGTTATTTTTCTTCAATCACTTTTCTGTTTGTTCTTCAGATCGTGCAATTGCTATTAATGCATCTTCAAGTTTACTGATTCTTTCTTCTGCCACCTCAGATTTGCTGTTACATCCCTCAGTGAGAGTTTTATTTGTGATTATATTTTTCAGTGGCAAAATTTCTGTTTTTTTTTAACAAATAATTTCTAGGGTTTCTGTGTTTGTTGAGCCGTTGTCATTCCACTTTCTTTTGGTTATTACCTGTGGTTTCCTTTCCTTCCTTTAAGTACTTACACTCGCTACTTTGACGTCTTTATTTGCCAAATACAACACCTGGGTACACTTAAAGACAGTTTGTGCTAATCATTTTTTATTGTTTCTCCACATGAGTATGGATAAATATTTCCTTGTTTCTTTTATGTTTTGTGAATTCTCATTAAACATTGGATGTGTTAGATAAAATATCGTAGGAACTCTGCATTCTGATTTTTACCTCCTGAGAGTCGTTGTTATTGTTTTGTTTGTTGAGTAACTTGCCTGTAGTAAATCTGTGAATTCTGTTAGCAATGTATAGCCACAGGGGTCTCTGCTCAAATTTTTGTTCTATTTTTCTTGTTAGGCATGGCTTCCCAGGAGTTAATCGTTTATCTGCATGCATGGTACTTGGTCAACAGCCGTGTGAATTTGTGCACAGACACCTTGAGTCAGTGAATCTGCCACTATTTGCTGATGATCTGTGTGTGGACAGGGAGTACATTCAGAATCCCAGCGTCCCTGGCTGTGCCTTCTACTGGGCTCTCCTCCTGCTTCGTCTTCTCTGCACACAAACTCAGCTCCAGCATTAGTCAGGGACGTATGGGTGGTTTGGGCAGGATCTGGTCTCTGATGAGACTAGTGGAGATGCTGGTCCTTCCTGTTGGTTTTCAGCAAATCACCAGTTTGTCTGAAAATTCTCCAAATCATATGAGTCCCTCTGGCTGTGACAGCAGAGCTGCTGGCTTCCTGGCTTTCCCCAGCCTGACTGAACTACCAAACCAACAGAGCTGTGGGGCCTGCGGGCACTGTTAGCAGACCCCGAGGGAATGCCACAGCCTTGAATTGTTCTGACTTGTAGTTCAGTAGTTGTCATGAGTCATCACTTCTTA